TTCTGTCTGCTTCTCTGTCCCAGTAAACACCTTTGCAGGGAAAATAAATCCAAGCCCTAACAATGTGTATGATGGGAAGGGCTCTGAAAACAGGCAGGGCTGCTGTTGTTACTGAGAAGCCGAGCCACTGAACCCCAAGAGTCTGCAGGCTGAGGGTGAGGACCCAGACCGGCTTACTAGCAGCAGACTTGAGGCCAGAAGACCACCTGCCTCAGTTTCCCCTGGAGAGCTTGCTGAAAATACAGTCACCCCAAATCCCTGGAGGCGGCACCCAGAAACTGGTGTCCCCTTCACTGGGGATCCTCACGTACCTGCCACTGAATCACACTGCGACAAAGACCTCTCTTGTTACTCAAAAAGAACCGCTCCCTGGAAGTAAAACCCATTTCCTTGGTCAGGATTCTCATACTGGCAATCTTATCCCCCCCCCCACCCGGCAACAAGTCAGCCCAGCTTAGCGGGGATCCAGGCTCCATCCCAAAAGCTCAGCACTGTACAGACCCACCTGGCAGGTCTAGAGCCGGACCGCTAAGGTGAAGGTTTAGCGCCATCTGTCGGTCCTTTAGGGAACTCCCGAGCAGGCTGCGCAAATGTAAGACTTCTCAGGCAAGAAACTGCCTCATTTTTGATGGTGTGGTTCCGTTGCTCTTAAGTTTTACAAGGTCTCAGGCTCCTTTAAAAAGTTACCAGACATTAAGAAGCCTCTGCCGTTTAAAAAAGAACACTTGTGCTGGACTTCGCATCCAAACCAGGGTGTTGGCAGCCTAAGCTCATACAGCGCACTAGTGGCGCGGCAGCCCGGAGACTGATGTTTCCTCCTATACCTTTAAGCCTTAAAGGGCTCCTCCCTCATGCTTCCCTGCCAGAGCCCTGCTGCCCTCCGATGATTCTCTGCACCTTCGTGGGCGCAGCCTCCCGTGTACAACGACAGGGTTGGAGACAGCTCTTCTTCCTTGCTCGAGCTGCAGAACCCATCGATGGGCATGCTGCTCCCTAATAAGTGTGTCTGAATGACTTCCCCCTTCCAGACACCAGGCAGGGGACAGAAGCTAAATTCTTGCCTAGAGTCAGAAGCTTGGGGGGGGGGGTTCTTCAGGAAGACAGAGGATCTGATTCCCACAGAATCAGAGGGACAATCAGAGGGGAGTCCTGGGTCTCCAGCACCCTGTGAGCCTGTATTTCAGAACAACAAGGCAGACCCAGGGGGATTTCTTGGGGACAAAGGAGATGGTGGGGTATGGTGAGTGATGGAATAAGCAAAGCTGAGAGGATTCATAATGCACAGGGCTGGGTATACAGCTGGGGCCTAATAAAGGCACCAGACCAACCCCCAGCTTAACACTCAGCTAATTCAAACAAACACTTGTTTGGTTTACAGTTGGAAACTAGGTTCTCACACTGGAGTGTGCTGCAGAATCACCCAGGAGGGGTTTTTCAAATAAATGTGGGCCCCACCCTAGGCATCTGTGTCATTAGGTCTGGGGCGAGACCTAGAACCAATTCTCTGGGATGCTGACCTACTTGTTCAGGAAACGTGCTTTGGGAACCACTGGGAACCACCGTGACCAATGAGACATACCGTCTTTGGGGAGCTCTCCCCAGTTTAACATTGAATGCATAAATAGCCCAGCCAAGTTGAGGGCAGGGGCTTCTCCGAAGAGGGGGTGTTTACGCCAAGACCTGAAAGCAGGGTGGAGCCAGCCCAACGAACAGAAGAGGGCTGAAAGTTTCACTATCCACTTAGAATGGGCCAGGCCCCCACCCCTGTACATGGCTCATCTATCCCCCAGCTATGATGAACTAGGCAGAATTAACCCCATCTTACAGATGAGAAAGTCGAGGCTCAGAGAGGCAAAGGAATAACTCAAGAACTCAGAGCAGGAAACTAGCCCAGGCCTGTGTGCTCACAGGCCCCTGCCACTGCTGCCTGCACCTCTAAGCCCCTTCCTAGCCCCCCCACACTCCTGTCCTGGGGTGGAGTTGCTTGGACACAGTTGCCGGCCTGGCTGGCCACACACTTAACTTGCCCTCGCCCGCCCAAGGCCTTCAAGTGCTTTCACTGCTGGGTGAATTCAGCAGATGCCTTTCGATTGTAGCCTATTAAATTAGCCCTTCTCTGCAGCCAAAAGAAGATAATTATGTTTTCATTAGCCCTGGATAATGTATTACCCCCTCTGTGGCAGCCACATTGGCCATGAACCTGCTCCATCCCCTCGAGTCCACCAGAGGGCCCTGCCGGTCCCCCAGTAGCCCTCCCCAGCAGGGCAGAGGGGACAGCTTGTTTACCTGGCCACCAGCAATGCAGGGATTGGGGTGCAGCCCAGAGAAAAGATCCAAGAGCAAGTCTCATCACAGTCACCATGTATAGAGTGTCTGCACTATGCGAATGCCAGAACAGGATGTGCCTCGGCTGTTTTAAACCTGCATGGGTCCCAGAGAAGGCTGGCATCTGGACATCTTCCCCAAACAGCAAGGGGTCCTGGAGGAATCAGTGAGCATAAATGTCCAGGGCAGCCTGGAAGGCAGCATGGCCAGGGAGCATTCAGGGGACTGTCACAGTCCTGCTTCATGGCCAAAGTCCCTGGCCTTCTACCTCCAGTGCCTGGGACCTCTAACACTACCCAGTACTAGTGTGGAGGGTCCCCAAACACCAAGAGCCACTCCCCAAACCTCCTGATCCTCTGCAACCCCATCATAATGCTTCTGACATTGTTCTTCTCCCTCCTTCACAAGGCCAGGGTGGGGACAGAGCCCCACTTTGGGGTCCCAGGACCTAAGTTCTAGCTTCTGCTTTACCACCCATTAACTCGGTGACTGGAGCAAATTGCTTCGTGTCTAGAGCTTCTGTTTTTCCCCCTGTAAAATACGTATAAGGCAGGGAATCATCCATCTCTCTTGCCACTTTGGTGACAATTCAATGAACTATTGCTACAAAATGTTTTGGCTCAAAACTGGTGAAATGAAAAGTACTTGATACAAAATAGTCACTGTTCCGCTACTATAACTAGTATTGTTGCTAATTCCCCTTGATCCTACCGAGAGTAGCAGAGTGAGAAAGGATCTCTCTCTCTCTCTCTCGCTCTCTCTCTCTCTCTCTCTCTCTCTCTGCCAGTTTCTGTGTGTGTGCGTGCTGATTTCCATCTGATTCTCTGCCCACAGTCTCTGTATCTCTTTCTCTTTGGCACACACACATCTCCAAGGCCCTGTCTTCTCAGATCCTCATCTCAAGAACTACACAACCATTGCACCTGGACATGGACAGAATTGGAGCAATGGGGCTACCCTCCCTCTCTCCTCAAATCCAGGCCACTCTGCCTTCTGCAGGCACAGCCAGCTTAGTGCTGACCCCACCATCTCGGCCCAGACCTTCCCTACTGACCCTCTTTCTTGTCAGTGGAAGAACAGCTGGAGTTTCTGGGTGGCAGTGGTCTGCCTGGAACCTCTTGTGCTCCAACCCTGATACAGGCAGGCGCAGCTCCGGCTCCGTTTGGAGCAGGTGAACTGCCACCCCAGTAGAGGAGCAGCTTCCCTTCCCCTGGCTTCCTGATTTCCCCAGTTGCCATGGTAATTGAGAGAGCAGTGTTCTGAGACCAACACCACTGAAACCCAGTGCTCAACTTTGCAGTGGTTCAGGCTGGGGAACATGTGTCCAGGATGGGAAGGAATCAAGCTCTGAGGACTCAGCTCTGGCCTTGCCTCCCTCGGATACCCATCCAGCCTTTTGTGTCACTGTCGTTAGTCCCAGCATCAGCCTTACCTTGGGTCGCTCTTTCTTGAGCACTTACTATACCCCAGGCTTCACTATGCCAAGAGCTCCACCTTCACCATCTCACTGTGTGCATCCTCACATCAACCCCAGGCCCATTTCACGCCCCCGAAGACTGCTCCGAGATCCTGGGTACATTCAGGAACTGGCAGAGCCCCGGAGCTGATGGAATTTTCTCAGGTCTTCCTCCCAGTGAGTAGAAGAAAGCACAGTTACACACACACACACACACACACAGGCATCGGCTTTTTCTTTATTCCTCCCTCCACCTCCTCATCCCTCACGCCCCTCTTCCTGCCCTCAAGTCACACCCCCTTCTCCCTCACTTGATGTGCAAGACACTCTGAAAAGCATTTATTAGTGACAAAGAGGAGTAGTTTTCCTCTTTGCCTCTTCTTCTCCCCACAACTCAGAGCCTGGGAGGGCTTGCCTGCCTTGCCAAGCCAGAGCTGGGGCGGAGGAAAGATCAAGCCACTCGGAGCCAGGTGCCAAGTGTGTGTGTCTCTCTCTCTCTGCGTGCCTCTGCGCCTGTGAAGCCTGCTCTCTTTCCTGGAGTCCCTCCACCCCCTGCTTCCCCAAGAGTGTGTGAGCAACAGCGACAGTGAAATGCAAAATCCTGTGCAATCTGCCCAGGAACAGACAGCTTTCGAGACGGGTTTATATGGTTACCCATATGTTAGGGCCCCTAAGAAAGGAAGGGAAGCCGGGTTCTCTGCATCTGCCCCTCCCCCTGCCCAGCCCTCGGCCTCTGCCCACGTGCGTGCGGGCCTCTCCAGCCACAGGTGAACAAGGCCCCTTCCCCCTACCCTTCCCCAGATGCCTGGCCTGGGCTCTGCTCCCGAAAACACCAGAACTGGGCAACATTTCCACAACCCGCTGACGCTCTGTCTACCCACCTGAGAGCCAAGGCCAGAACCCAGGCTGCTCCCCCTACACGCACGCGCGCGCGCACACACACACACACACACACACACACACAGAGGGCTGGCGCTCTGCCCAGCATGGGACTGGGCATTCTGCTGTCCCACTAAGGAATGTCGTCCCAACACCGATGTGGACAGAAATAATCACCGCTGCCCCCCATGAGACTCTGTGGCCACAGCCAGCTGCCTCCTCGAAGTGGTTACTACATTGAGCCCCCTCCAGCCTCCCAGAAATTGTCATTGTGTGTGTGTGCGTGTTTCCTGATAGAAAAAAAAAATGGAAATTAGATTATATAAAAGATGTATGCTTTGGAGCCCAGAGCGGCTCTTTTAATGAGGGTTGCGACGTCTCCCTCCCCGCACCCATAAAGCAGCCGGGTGGGACGTCACCACTAATTCGTTTCAGCGACGATGGGATAAAGGAGGGACATTAAGAAATAAATCCCCCTCACGACCCTCGCTGAGCTCGCGGATCGGTCCCCACGTATTTACGCCACGATTCCAGCCGCCGGGCGTGGAGCGACTTAGCGCCACGGCTCCTCCGAGGGGCGGCGGCCGAGCTGACGGGGTGAGCCCGGGGCGCGCGCGGGGGAAGCCCGAAGCCCGCGTCCCGAACTTGGGCTCTCGGGGCGCTCGGAGGGAGGGCGGAGGGAGGGGACAGGGGAGGGCGGGGGCCGGGCGAGGGGGTGGGGAGCGATCTGAGAGGCACAAAGCGGAGAGGCGAGGGAGGGCGGCGCGCGGCTCCTACCCGGAGGTGAGCGGTGCGCCCGGCGCCCTCCAGCCGCGCGCGGCGGCCGAGCGACCCAGAGGCTTCGGAACCGCGAGCGCGGCGGCGGCGGCGGCGGCGGGCGCCCGGGAGGAGGAGGAGCGGCGGAGCAGGAGTAGGAGGCGGGCGGGCGGGTGCGCAGCGCGCAGCGCAGCCTCGGCACCGCCGGGCTCGGCCGCAGGTGAGTTTGGGGCCCCGCGTCCCGCGCCCTCCGTGTCCCCCTGGCGCGCTCTGTTCCCGCGCGAGCCCACCCCGGTGCGCGGGAGGCGCGGGCTCTGTCGCGCTTTCCAACTTGGCCCCGGTGGCCTCGTCCTCCTCCCAGCGGGCGGCCCCACGCCGGGTCCGGGTCCCCGGGGTCGACGCGCCCGCCGTGCTCCAACTTTGCGGGGACCCCAAGGGCTCCCCAGCCGCGCGCCCGGCTCCGCGCTGCGCCTGCGCTCATGGCGGACTGAGGACCCCGCGCTCTCCCCCGGCCGGCAGCCTGGGCTGCGGACACGGCCCCAGGTTCGCGGCCTCTGCTCGCGCTTAACTTTCGGCTTCTTCCCGCGGCCCGGCTCTGCGCCCGCCTCTCCCTCGGACCCGCGGTAATGGCGGCCTCTGGCACCGTCAGCCGCCCGCGAGGGGCCGATGGCCCGGACGGCTCTGCTCGCGGGGATCGCGGCTCCTGCCTGGCTTCTAACTTTGCCAGGAGCTGCCTTGCGCTCCCGCCGTCCTGCCGGGGCGGCCCGCACCTCTTACTTCTGCCCCGGAGGGATTGGGGTGTAGGAGCGCCGGCTCCCAGAACCCGGGAAAGTTGTGTCGCTCCCGCGAAGGAGGTTCCGGGGCTCCCGGCGCGTCCTCAGAGCGGGCGAGGGGCGCGCTCCGCCTTGGATCAGGCCCGGCGACGCACCGCGCGCTTTGGGTTTGTTTCCAGGTGGCCACGGCGGCTCGGAAAAGGGTCCCTGCGAACTCCAATTTCCGGAGCCCCTCGAGGGTCCTTGGGTCGGAGGGTCCAGAAAGGGCCCTTGGGACTGCGAAGGAGAGCGTGTGAGACCCTCCCGCCCATCCCCAGGGCACAGTGGCACCGGTATCGCAGCTCTCAGCGCCCCGGGCGACCGCGCAGTCTGGGGCGGAGGTGAGGCGCGCGCCAAGGAGGCAGCCTGGGTTCCAGCCGTAGAGATACCTTTTACTTTCCGTGGGACCCTAGGTAAGTCCCTTCGCCTCTCAAGTCTTAGATTTCTCCTGTATAGAGTGGAGGAAACAATACCCTTCTACTGGGAACACCGTAGGGACCGTTAAAACCCCGTAAGTGTAAATAAGCAGCTCAGGACAAGCGCTGGATATGCAGGAAATGGAGCTGAGGTTTTATTGTAACCCGCTGGGGTAGATCCGGGGACTCCCAGGTCTCAGGGTTCTAGTGGAATCAGAGTTGCCCCTGAGGATAAGAAAGGCCAAGCCCCCCTCCCGCTGACACTAGCGGTTCCCTGGCAGATGAGACCCGCTCTTCTCTCAGTGTCCTGCTCAAACCTGCTCTCAGCCTGGGGAGGACGCGCCAGCAGCCACCGAGGAAGTGGCGAAGGGGCGAGGGCTGGTCCAAAAGGCACCCTCGGGAGGGTGCTGTGCAGCCAGGCGAGTGTGCCCAGGGCATTTCGTGGAGCCCCTGAGAGCCCAGCACTCTGGGAGAGGGAAGAAAGGACCCGACGCCCCCCCCCCCCGCCTCTCCTCCAGAGGAATGTGGGGAAATAACGCCCTTCACCTTCTCTCACTGGGATCGGCAGCAGCGCCTCCGCATCCGGTACGGAAAACACTAGCACCCGGGAAATCAGTTTTCTACAACTGAATTTTTGGTTTTGGTAATTTTCTTTTTAAATTTCAACCTTGGATCTGTGCCCGAAGCAGGGGTGGGGTCAGACCCACTGTTTGCTCTCAGGTGTCTGAGCAGACAGGTCTGAGAAGACTTTGTAGGCCCAGGAAGGGAGGCACCCTGCCCTACCTTCACTGACCCAGCCCCTCTCTCCCAGCCCAGAATCCAGCATGCAGTCCCCTAAATGCCACACAGCTCTGTGCAGGTTCAGGGTGCTGGCTCATCTCAGAATCTCAGAATCTCTTAACCTCCCCAGTCTCCAAAGCAGCAATCTGAATCCCAGTTTGCAGAAAGGGAAACTGAGGCAGGGCACACCGAGTCACCTGCCCATAGTCACCTAGCTGATAAGCGGCACCACTGGAGACCTCAGCCCTGGTTTTGAGCTTCAGAACTTGGAGTATTTTGCATGCATAAGCAGTCTGACACTTGCCTCTGCTTTAGCACGCACAGCCTCATTTCCTGATATATGTCTTCAGCCTGAGGTACCCTGACTGGATCTCCAGAAATTGTGGGGGGTCTTCCCCCCAAAATCCCAGACCATGCAGGGAAAGAGCAAGCAGCATAGCAGAAAGACCTGTTGAAGACTTGTGTTTGAGACCAAATTTAGTGTGCTCCATGGCAAATGAACCTCCCTGAACCTCCCATTTAACCTCCCTGAGCTTCAGTCCCATTATCTGTAAAATAACTCACGAGTGAAAATTTTGTGATGACATCTGTAAAAGGAGTTCTGGAAACAGTAGCTCTAAGCCAAGACTGGTGATTGTCAGGAAGAAAAGGAACCCCAGTGGAAAGCCTCCAATACTGTGAACTCGGCCTCCCTACCAGCCTCTTCGTTTTCCCCAAATGGCCAAAGTCAGCCCCAAAGGCTGTGCCTTCCATGGGGAACGACAGCTGGGAAAGGCTGAGGCACTGGGAGTGGAGGGGTGGGTGGATGCTGCGTGGGGGGGGGGGGTCCTCCCTGCTGCACCACGGCACTGTCCGAGGTACCACACAGACAGCTGTTCAAAAACACCCCAGTGGTGGGGTGCTGATTTCCCAGAATACCGAAGCCTTGGGGATCCGTTCACCTGGGTTTTCAGAGCATGAGCAAATTTGGTTGTGCTGCCTTCTCGGATGTGTGGTTTGGGGTGTCATTGGACCCCACTCGGCGTCTTGCCTGTCACTCAGGTTCCATGGGTCTGTACAGGGCTGGCTGAGTCTCAGAATGTGACCCACAGGCAAGTTTGCTCTCATTAGTACTGGACCTCTTTCTGCTAGAAACTGGAGTGTGCAGAAGTTGAATTTGGCATTTCAGGGCCAATTATCATCTGGGCTGTTTGCACGAAGGGGCAGGCTCTGCATCACTGACTGGTGTGTGGTTGTGTGGTTAGCAACCCCGACATTGTGAAGGCTGTAGATGTGACCGTTTCCCTCATCAAATGTGCAATAGCATTTGGGCATCATCCCATCTGGTAGATGGAAAGCATCAGCCCAAGCAGATCGTCAGCGTCAGAATCTGCCAAGGTGCTAAGTTAGGAACGGAGACACCGGACCCCATGCTCACTCTGCAAAATCAGCATCCCCAGGGAGAGACTCAGGGTATCTGTACTTTTAACAAGACTACTCCAGGCTATCTTAATGCCTTCAGTTCTTATCCATGACCCTCATCCTTCAAATAAGGAAACTGAGGCCCAACAAAGGCATATGAGTTGACAAAACTCACACAGCAAACGACAGGGGAAGCTGGAATAGATCCTCCATGTCTTGGCTCTTTTTGTCCAGGGCTCACTGATGATAGTTTCCTGTTTGCTTCAGAATAAAGAAGCTGCAGAGATTCAGGACTTAAAGGAAATTTTAATTCCATCTCTGATTGTCATTATAAGTTGGCAAATGACTGAATTGTCCCTCCCACTTTGACCTTGCTAGATTCAACCCTGCTTTTCCAGCTGTTGGGCATTAGCTCCACTGGTTAATCGTTCAGAGAGAAGCCTCCTTTTAAAAGTAACCTATGTGGTACAAACTTCAGAAATCAAGTAATTGCAGGAGCTAATAACCCCTGTTTAACTATCATTGATTTCACCAAAGCCCTTGGTCTCGGTCAGAGCTCATTTCTGCAGCCTGCAGCCTGCTCAGTCCTGTGTATGTCGTCCCTCACACTCCCATTCCTAAGGACGCAGAGTCTTGAGCAGCTCCCTGCCATGCTGGGAAATTGAGCCCATTTGAATCTATTCAACAAAAATGATGTATCAACAGAAAATGTCCCTAAGTCCCCAGTATGACCACGGGTAACAGGGTACAGTGGGCGTGGGTCTTGGCATAATTGTATTTAGAAACGATAAGCCCCAGAAGGGCAAAGATATCATGGGTGGTTCTGCAGCAGGCATCAGCACATCTGTCACATGGGGCAGGGTGAGCATTAACTGGCAAGTCCAGGCCCAGGCCCCAAAGGCAGGGGCCTGGGTCAGCATGGTATGAGCCCCACTGCAGTGAAGCTGCAGTCTGACTAAGTAGGAGTGCTGAAGAAGCCCTGTGGTAGGCATGCAGTTTCTGGGGGAGAGGAAGAGGTGGCATGCTGCTGTTGGCCCCAAGAGGTGTGGCTGTGGGATTCGGGGGGTGGCATTGGAACCTGTGGCCTGATTCATGCCTCTCTCTCAGCAATGGGGACCCCAGGGCCACATTGAGCCCATGGTAGCCAGGGTGAAAGCGTGGTTGAAGTATTGAGAGCATCACCTTAAAATCAAAAGAGGTTGTCATCCTGGGGAGCATCCAAGTATGGGCTTGGGCACCCATGGTCTCCGTGAGTCTGAGGGGGAGTTATCTCGCTGACCCTTCGGCGTATCATCCAGGCTATGGAGACTGTATCTACTGCACGGGACTCAGGAGGATCACCGGGATAGTCTGTCGGTGAATCTGGCAGAGGGACAGCACCAGGCCCATTCAGTGATCCTAACAAAGAAGAGCAATGCAAAAAGAGCCCTTT